GGGGGGGACTGGAGTTCAGACGGGTGCCCTTCCGATCGGGGGGGGGGGGGAACTACCCCCGGAGATAGTCTAGTGCTCCCCCCCCCCCAGAGAAAAATACGTACAACAATGAAACAAAATATATATTATAGTTTTAAAAAAATAAAAAATTCTCATTTTAAAAATAATTAAAAAGAATATTAGCTCGTGTCCTTAACCGATTAAAATTAGTGGAATATATGAAATATCGCTACGCTCGATAGATTTGATGATCTGTGTAGTAAAGTTAAGGCAAATCTTCTTAAAACTTACGTTATTCTATTAAATATATCGCAATGACTCGAAATTTTTCCGATGATGAGCCGAAGTATTACTTCCCCTTAGCATTTATCTGTATTTTTTATTTAATTATTTTTTTGCAAACTCACAAGCTTAAACTTAAAGACTTTAATAACACTGTATTTAACTACATTTGTTTCAATTTCAAAGTAAATAATTTTAATAGAATTCTCACTAAGTGTGTTACGTGAGCAATCTTTTCATGTTTTCAAATTATATTTTATAATAAAAGCATGACTTTTTAAACTAGGGAATGGTGTTAATTACAAATTGGATGATGGCATCATGCTTTCAAAAATATAGTTATTGTTAGCAATCAGTGTTTCTTTCAGCTATCTCTTCGGGAGGGCACTGCCCCCCCACCGCCAACCTCCAGAGCATGATGTGTACAGCAGTATAACACAAATATATTTTTTAAAATTAAAAATGACTATTGCTTTGTAAAGGGTGCATTTATTTATTTATTTATTTAGCCATTTTTTATATAGCGCTTGCCTTAAAGCTCTAAGCGCTTTACAATTATTAAAAACATGTAAACTAAGTAAAATAAAAAATGAGACACTAGGATAGTAACTACTATACTATAGAAACAATTAAAATGGCTATAAAACGAGGACACTCTGGCACGTTTTGGCCTATAATACAGGAACAACCCGAGACAGAAAATGAGGCAGGGCAAGGAGGGTGCATCACAGGTCATAGGCGGACCTAAACAGATGGGTTTTAAGGGACTTTTTAAAAGTGGACGAGGTTTCACAATGACGGATATGGAAGGGGAGCTGGTTATGATTCCCTCACAAAGTGGCACTGGAAATCTGTGAAATTTCCTCATCAACACCAGGAACAGAAACATTGCAAATCCCATCTACATGCATAGGAGCCAAAATGATCAATAAATTGATCGTGGGCCCTTAAGATATAGAAGAAGAAGAAGAAGTGCCTGATGGAATAGTTTGATAGAAGAAGAGTGGTAAAGTGCCTGATGGATTAGTTTGATAGAAGGTTGGTGGCAAAGTGCCTGATGGATTAGTTTGATAGAAGAAGAGTGGTAAAGTGCCTGATGGATTAGTTTGATAGAAGGTTGGTGGCAAAGTGCCTGATGGATTAGTTTGATAGAAGAAGAGTGGTAGAGTGCCTGATGGAATAGTTTGATAGAAGGTTGGTGGCAAAGTGCCTGATGGATTAGTTTGATAGAAGAAGAGTGGTAAAGTGCCTGATGGAATAGTTTGATAGAAGGTTGGTGGCAAAGTGCCTGATGGAATAGTTTGATAGAAGAAGAGTGGTAGAGTGCCTGATGGAATAGTTTGATAGAAGAAGAGTGGTAAAATGCCTGATGGAATAGTTTGATAGAAGAAGAGTGGTAGAGTGCCTGATGGAATAGTTTGATAGAAGAAGAGTGGTAGAGTGCCTGATGGAATAGTTTGATAGAAGAAGAGTGGTAGAGTGCCTGATGGAATAGTTTGATAGAAGAAGAGTGGTAGAGTGCCCATTAGCACCATTTTAGGGTGGTCACACCCAAAGGGGGGAAAACCTTATAACAAATTTAATAATTATAAGGACAAAGTTTCATCATTAAAATAGTAATCATCTTTTTCTACTGAACATTTTGTATATTTTTAGCAGAAAAATTGTTATTTTCATTTTAGTTATTCCTGATTATATAGAAAGTGTAATAAAATTGGAATCAATCTATGGAGAACAAATATAGTAATGAGATTTTATTGTGATATAAACATAAGTGTCATTAATATTTAAGAGATTAATTTTTTTTTAACTTAAGCAACTGACTACAAATGTCAAAATAATTATAATTTTAATATATTGTAATTATTTGTGTACCGGAATACATTAATAATATATTAAAATATATAGGCCTAATATAAAAAAGAATTATGTTAGTTCCAATAAAACTATTAAGTTTCCACATATAACCCATTATATGCCTGTGAATTTAAATCAAACTTTTTTAGAACTAGACCGGTGAAAAATTATTATTGGATGTATTATTAATGTTAATATTAGTATTAGTATACAGTCATTATCTAATTTTTTTTTATTCATTATCAATTATAAAAGGTCATATTTATTACTATGGTATTATCTGTATACTACCCTATTACTATTATTGTGATTACTGTACTACTACTACCTACTTCTATTGATTATATTTAATTAAGAATATCCAACTCATAATAGTTGGCCCACTAATTGTCATACTTATAGCAAAGAATGTTTTTATTATTTGTTTGAAATTTCAGTTTAGTGGGGGGTTTTTGTGTGGTTAGGCCGCCCAGGGTTTCTTTCAGGGTGGGGGGGGGGGAACTACCCCCGGAGATAGTCTAGTGCTCCCCCCCCCCCAGAAAAAAAACCGACACACAAAAAAAAAAAATATATATTAAATTTTTAAAAAAAAAAAAATTTCAAATTTAAAAAAAATTAAAAAAAA